CAACAAAAAAATACACAACATATATACACAACAAAAAAATACAAATCCAAATTGAAATGAAAGGAGCCAGAAAGAAGAAAAAATCTTATAACATCTGCCCCTTTTTTCTTTAATTAATTTAAAGCAATAATAATCAGGAAAAAAAAACAAAATAAAAACTTCAATTCATTCTCAAACAACAAATTTAATATACATTATACAATTTCATATTTCTTTAACAAACTTATTTTTATCATTCTCTTAAACAAATACATTGAACCGGCATTTTTATAATCACTTTCCAGATCATTCCACAATCTTATTCCTTGAACCGAAGTACGTCGGTCCTTCAAGTTTGTTCGAATTTTAGGTTTTATAAACATCTCAAGTCCTTTAAGATTATAAGAACTTTCTCTCTTAACAAAATATAACTGGATGTTTAAAGGTAACGTTTTTTATGAGCCTTTGTCAGTTTCATGTTTATGAGACGTAAACAAGTTGAAAGAAAATCTTGTTTGTTGGTTTTATTTATAGTAAAATGTTGAAAGAGTACGCATCATGCTGTATATTAGATTTGATCCAGTCAGAGGCGCTGGAGGTCTGTGAGGAAGGAGAGACAGCTTTACTTACAGTGCGAGCAGCCATACAGCTCCAGACGGACTCCAACGCGTCCCTCCTTGCTTGAGGCCACTGGTATGAAGCGGATGTAGCGGGCCAGGATGGAACGGTCCAGCTCGTGTCGAACTAAATCCTCGGCGTTAGTATTACCCACAAATGTCTGAAACATGTGGAAACGTTGCTTTAATGAAACTGATGGTCAAGAAAAAAGGCTTTAGTCTTTCAGTTCTGAAAATGTTGGTACATTGTGTAAATAAAAACTTAATTCAATGATTTGCATGAACCAGGGCTATTCAACTAAACTGTTACGGAGGCCACAGTTACCACAGGCCAACAGCTGAGGGGCCCAACATCCAGCAATTAAAGTCATTATGTAATTAAACCAAGTATTACAAAAATCTGTTCCCTTTGAAATAGTTTATTTTGCTGCATTTAATCATGAATACAAACATACAGAACCTTATGCAATAAAATTAGTGATAATAAAACAAAAACAAAAATAACACATTATGCCTCTTATAAATATTTTGACACCTCTGACTTGACAAATTTTTAAACCAATTTTATTTTCACTTTCATAGTTTTATTTTTAACTGCTTGTAGTTTTAACTGTCCTGGGTGTTCATAGAAATGGTTTCTACCAGTTTATAGCCAAGATTCGATGTTTCTGTAGATACCAAACATGTCTATGTGAAACTAAAATAACTTAGGGTAATTAGAGATAAAGGAACCAATTGGCGGGCTGAACCTTGGTCATTCACAAGCTGCCAGTTAAATAGCCCTAGCATAAACCCATATTTCATTCACAATAGAATAAAATACACACAATCCTTTATAAATGAGGCCCCAGGTGCTGCATTTCAGGGGTCTCATTTAAAGAATTCATACTAAAAGTGAACGTACGACCAAAAGGTAAAAAT